GGTATTGATGTTTATTATTGTAACTTCTTTTCATAATTGAACTTGTTTACTGTTTCTATACAAATGGTGAAAATTCTAAAGTATAGACAAGGAATAAATGTAAAGTTGTGGCCAACACCATAAGTAGTTCATTACAAATTGAAAAAACTTTCTGGTTTAAAAACTACATCTGGTAGTCAATGCAACCCTGCAGATCTCTAGTAGGGTTGGTCTCTGTGTTCCTGATGCAGATAATGCAGAAGAATTAAACACTTCATGTGTTCCTCTTCAAGAGGAAGGTCCTAAAGGTAAGGAGAAGCATTAAGTAGTAATCAGATGAATGGAAGGATGACATCATTTCCTGATTTCATGAGATTGAAAATAAAACCAAATCAGGATTGGGACACACATTAGTGCTTGGGAAACTTTTTTGACAACAATTTAATTAAAAACAAAAATATAAGCATACAAATAGGCATATGTACATACACATACATGTACACACTTAAACACATGTATACACAAACTTGCATGCATTTTTATGAACACATTCATGTGTGTATGTGACAATATATTCCTAATTTAGCCTCTATAAGATTCCAAGAATATGCCTAGGAGCCTGCCACAGGGGGCCTCTGAAAGGCTTTGCCCTGCAGACTATCAAAGCAGATGCTGAGACATACGGCCAACCTTTGGGCAGAGTACAGGGAATCCTTTGAACGGGGTCAGAAATAGTAAGATCAGGAAAGGCCAGGACCTCCACAAGGAAAGCAACAGAACCAAAAAATCTGAGCACAGGGATCTTTCCTGAGACTGATACTAAAACAAAGCACCATGCATGGAGATAATCTAGAACACCTGCACAGATATAGCCCATGGCAGTTCAGTGTCCAAGTGGGTTCCATAGTAATGGGAAAGGGACTGCCTCTGACATAAACTGACTGGCCTGCTCTTTGATCACCTCCACCCGAAGGAGGGAAGCAGCTTTACCAGGCCACAGAGGAAGACAATGCACCCACTCCTGATGAGACCTAATAGACTAGGATCAGAAGGAAGGAAAAGAAGACCTCCCCTATCAGTGGACTTGGGGAGGGACATGCATGGAGAAGGGGGATGGAGGGTGGGATTAGGAGGGGAGGAGAGAAGGGGCTACGGGGGGATACAAAGTGAATGAAGTGTAATTAATAAAAAAATTTAAAAAAATAACAACTGCCAAAAAAAAAAAGATACCAAGAATATTGCTTGCTCTGTTTTACCCCTTTCTTTGCCCTGGTCCCCAAGCATATGTAATGTATCTTTTTATGGAAATCACTATTTTTGAAAGGATCATTAAAAAAATTGATTGATTCAGAAATCCCTCAAACATTCTGCAAGATAAAGAATTATGTAAGAAGTGGGAAATAGTAAGAGCTGGAGAGGACAGGAACTCCACAAGGAGAGCAACAGAACAAGAAAATTTGAACACAGGGAACTTCCCACAGACTCATACTCCAACCAAGGACTATTCATGGAGATAACCTAGAACCCTGACAATGCAGCCACTTTTGATGAGAACTGATAGACTAAGATCAGAAAGAAGGAGAGGAGGAACTCCCCTATCAGTGGACTTGGGGAGGGGCATGCATGCAGAAAGGGGGGGAGGGTGGGACCAGGAGGGGAGGAGGAAGGAGTTTATGGGGGGATACAAAATGAATAAAGTGTAATTTTAAAAAGTTAAATAAAAAATTAAAAAAAAAAAGAATTATGCCACTGTCATTGAATTTTAGGATCCTTGACAAATGTGTCTGACATTGATGACAATGGTGACAACAACTGTCCTATTTTTATGACATGTCCTTCAGAAAATGATGCAGGTCCCTACATATAATCTACTCCTCTTCTACATGATAAGAGTAGAGGTAAGTATTGATGTTCTATTATCATAACTTTTTTCCACAATAGAACGTGTTTAGTGCTTCTATACAAATGGTGAAAATCCTAAAGTATAGACAAGGAATAAATGTAAAGTTGTGGGCAACACTGTAAGTAGTTCATTACAAATTGACGATGCTTTCTGGTTTAAAAAGTACATCTGGTACTAAATCTCTATGCAAATCTCAGCCATGCAAATCTCTAGTAGGGCTGGTCTCTGCATTCCTGATGCAGAAAATGTGGAAGATGAAATTAAAGTTTCATGTGTTCTTCCTCAGGAGGATGATCCTACAGGTAATGGGAAGCATTAAGTAGTAATCAGATGAATGGAGGCATGACATTGTTTCCTCATTTCACAAGAGGAAAAAGAACATCACAGCAAGATTCAGACACACTCTTACATTAGTGCATGGGAAACCTTTCCTTAACAACACTTTGATTAATACATAAATATAAGCATAATATTGGCATATGTACATACACACTTCAACACAAATATGTACAAACATGCATACATATTTCATACACATATGTGCATGTGTGTATGCATGACAGTTGTATTCCAATGTATTCCCAAAACATTGCCTGCTGTATTTCTCCCCAACACTATACTATTTTTGTAAACACTATATTATTTTTGCAAAAAAAAAATACTGTTTTTGAAAAGATCATTTCAAAGGTGGATTGTTTCAAAAATCCTTCATACTTTCTGCAAGATAAAGGTCAACAATGCAGCCCAGCATACCTCTACTAGGTCTGGTCTTTGCATTCCTGATGGTGCTCCCTGTTATCCATTTTCCCAAATCCTCAATGTCCATATTTCCTCCCTCCCATCTGTTCCATGGAATGACCAGGATGTCCCCAGAAACCATGTCATGTGTCTCCATGAAAGCCAATTCTGTCCAAGGAATGAACAACTCAGATGCCATCACTGTCTCCATGTCTGCCACCACTGAACATTGCTCCATGTCATCCAGGCCCATAATTCAAACTTTTCCTCCTTGCTTTCAACCAAGGCCTCCTCAGCACATGTCTTCAACCTATGGTGAGAATGGTAGCAGAAGGAAGCCCTTGGATTTAGAGGCCTTAAACTGGTCACACTCCCTTCTCCAGGTGAAGTTCATGTTACAGCATCCCAGATTGTTACAATGCCAGTTTCTAGCTGGGTGCTAGACATTTCCTTCTCTAGAAAGATTCTCTCCTGAGACCCGAGGCCTTCTTTGGGATTAAGCTCTTTTTTTTCTCCTCTATGGCCTCCCATGGGGCCATTGGGTCCTTCAGGACCTCTTGGTCCACAAGGACTTTCTAGGATACCACTGTTTGATGTCAATACTGTCATGATTGCTTTCAAAGCAAAAAGTAGAATTTACTGATTATGCCCAAAAAGCATGAGCAATAAACAACTAGCTATCAAGGGCATCATGATGCAATCTCATTATTGTACATATTGAAATATAAATTAATTTCTATGTTTTTGCAATGATGCAGAAGTTATGCAGGCTATAAAAGGAAAAGAGCAATCAAGGGTTAACTGAGTTCAGTTACAACATACAAAGATTTCCTTTGTTTGAGAAACCTAACAAACTATTTTTTAAATCTAATGGCTGCATATGGCTCTGATATGAATGATGAAAATGTGCACATAATTTCACCAGCAAACAACAAGGAAGATCTCACTAAAATTTCTCTCTCTCTCTGTCAGGACCTATTGAGGGATATTTATTTGGAAGAGATCTCAACAGTATTTGTGAGGATGGCATTCTGCCTGCCATTATAGTGGGGAGTTAATTTTTTGTCTCTGTAGCTGTCCTGTTCCACAGAATTCCTGAGGAAACTGTGTTCTGAATGAATTATTTATCAATCAGATCAATGTTCAGATAGCCTATCCATGAGGGTAAGATCCTTTTAAATTAGTGCCTCCATGATATAAATCTCACTGAAGTTTGAACCATGTAATTATACAGATTGTAAAAAAAAAGTATAGACAGATAGATAGATAGATAGATAGATAGATAGATAGATAGATAGATAGATAGATAGATAGAGATATTATTGACATGAATTTCACTGACTTCAGAAAAGATACAAACTGACCATCCTATTGCAGGTAATGTGTCCATGGATGTGAATCTCTTTGAGTCCAAAACCTTAACTCTTTCAGATTATTTCAGTGCTCTGAAGTCTTCATTAATATCATTGCCTCTAAGATAATTCAATCTTATAATTCAATATATCTAGAGTTTTGTTTTATATGATCAGGGAATCTGGAATAAATATTTTTCATTGCTATATACTAATCCTTTCATCTTAGCAGAACATATTTCAAAGCCACCCTCAATGGCTTGAGCTCTTTAAAATAAGTTGCTAAATTGCCATTGGATATTTTAACACTATACTTCATGGGAACAATATTATTATGTCAGACACATGATAATTACCACCCATAACTTGAGTATTTTACAGCAATCTCTTTTGGTAACCATGCCTGTAATCACCCCCAAACCTTGAAAATAGAGAGAGTATTGAGTAAAGCTGTATATGGAAGTCATTTTTACATAGTAAATTCTTGGAAGAGGAATTAAAATCTCCTTGGGTTATTGACAGTGACAGCATTTCTTTAAATTGATAGCTGAAAATAAGACATCTCAGAAGAAGGAAATAATATTCACTATTAAAGGAAGTTTAAGAAGACAAAAACTTTCCTGAAAACACAGATTTTAAGATTCACAACAGAATACAAGACAGACAGGTTTGAGTCACTGAAAAGGAAATATCCCAACAGTAACTAAAAATGGCAGACTAGGAAAGGATATTCTTAGAGGAACAAGAAAAAGTAAGAATGGAACATTCAACAAAACTATAGGGTAGCAGAAATGTGATTCAGCGCCAAGGATTATCTGATTCAAACAAATTGCCGATGTTTAAAATTGGGAGTACTAGATTAGGGGAAAATAAAAAAATAAAAAAAACTACAAAATTTTGCTCATTCCTCCTAGTTGTAGTTACTGATCTATAATTGCCATTGCTCTGGGTCACAATAAGAGACACATTTGTCTTCAAGCATGGGGATATGTAATAATAAAAGGCTATGTTTATCTCAAACAGGAGATTCTAGGTATCGCTAAAGAAAAGGGACCAGATGAATACCAAATATTCCCAACATTAGGGAACAAAGCACACTGGGTCCTAAGGAAAAAGATGGACTCATCAGGAAGTAGATTTGAGAGAAGAATCGGTGGCTGAAATAAGATCTGTCTTCAAGGTAAAGGTTTTAGCATCCTCTCACTCAGCATCCCTCTACACATGCACAAGTACTTTCCTTCCTTCAGATAAACCGATGATGACTGTTTCCTTCAACTATGGAAACTGATGACTTGAGGATAACAGGCATCATAGATAAGAGTTTGACAAGTTAAAGGATTCATCACAAAGACACAATTGACCTTCTGTTGGAAGCTGACTCCCTCATATGTCAGATGTGCTTTAGTTTGGCATTGCAAATCACCCAAATGATTTCACTTCTGACCACACCAATATTAATAACAAAATAAAGCAATGATTGATAATTAGTAACAAAAAGTAATAATAAATGATGTATGAGGTAATGTTAAAACAAGTAATAATAATGGTAGAAGTGTAATTGACAAAACACACTCATATCCTTCATAAATAAACACAAAATATCTTTCCTAAATAAAAACATTTCAAAGTGGCTAGCAGACCACTGACCTCTAACAAGTTCACAGAGAGTTGGAGGTTGCCCTTTGTCCAGTACATGGAAGCAATTGTTTATCCATAAAAAAAATAAGTTCTTTTATATTATCTGAATGTTATCATTTTCTTTTTTCATTTTTTTCTCCTCCCAGTATCATTCACCCTCTCACTTCTCCCCTTATGCCTTTTCCCTGCTCCCCTGATAGGGGAGGACCTCCTCTCCTTCTATCTGAGACCCTAGCTTATCAGGTCTCATCAAGGCTGGCAGCACTCAGTAGACTCTGAAGCTGTAGCTTCAGAAATAAAGAGAGAAGGTACTGCTCTTAGAGCAGGCAAGATTAGTAACATCAGACAAAGGTACCACTTGATCCCTCCTTGACCTGGAGCTTGCCAAGTATGGCTTACTCTCATTGCCAGAAAGCTGGGACCACATCTTGGGGATGGAAGTGTAGTTTATCAGTGACTGGCTTTTTAACCCCACTCCCACCCACTGAGGGAGGAGCAGCCTTGCTAAGCCACATAGGAGGACATTGAAACCAGTCCTGATGAGACCTAAGCTAGAATCAGATGGAAGAGAGAGGAGGACCTTCCCTTCCCTATGAGTGGACTTAGAGAGAGACATGGGGGCAGATGAGGGAGGGAGTCTGGCATTGGGAAGGAATGAGGGAGGGGGCTATAGCTGGGAGACAAAGCAAATAAAATGTATTTAATGTTAAAACAAAAACAAAACAAAAAAAAAAAAAGGAAAGAAAGAATGTATAGTTCAGTGGCTCCCAAAGCAGTGCTGTGTATTCAGAGCAGGAACACCTGGGATTTTCCGATTGTTCTCATTTCCCTATCTTTGGTACATCAAACAATGGCTGACACATTACAGCTTAAAAATAACTGACATATCTTAATCTATACTGAATTATGACTGTAAAAGTTGGTTGTGGTGTGTTTTCTGGGCTGGATAGTCCTGAATAGTTTTGTGCTATTTAATAAGACATGAACATATATGCACTTTAAACTATTTAAGCATGTGAAATAGAATTAACTATTGGTACATAAACTATTACACAGTTCAAGTGTCTCAACTTTTCCAATCTAGATTAGCTTAGGTCAGGTTCAGCTGTGACTTCTTAGAAACATTTTCCTCTACAATACTCCATAGAATGATTTCTTGATGACTAAAGAGATTTGAGTTATATTACAAGCCAGAACTCCAGCCTGTGTTACTTATCTATACTATCAGCTTCCATGAGTGGATTGTTTAGTTTCATCAGTGTGCTTTCAGCTCATCATATTCTAGGATGCCACAGAAGAGCTACAAGGGTTTACATTAAATTATGTGTTAAATATTTTCCCATGTTAGCTGGCCAGATGGGTAAGGTATCAACAACTCTGGATATTTCCGTTCCCAGAACCCATATGATGGCCGGCAAACAACTAATTTCTGATCCCTGGGCTCCTTACGCTATTCTCTGGGGTCATGGGAACCAGTAAAACATGTGGTGCACAGACCATGAGACCTGATAAGCTAGGGTCAGATAGAAGGGAAGGCAGTCCTCCCTTATCAGGGGACTGAGGAAATGGCATAGGGGGAGAAGAGGGACGATGGGTGGGACCAGAGAAGACTAGGAAGGAGGCTACAGTATGGATACAAAGTGAATAGATTGCAATAAGTAATCTACAAATAAAATTAAATTAAAAATTAATGATACACAATTTCCAAAAATTTTCCCAAGATTATATTCAAAGAAGTGATTTGCAGAAAACTTTTTGGGCAATATTTTAGCTATATTTTACATTTATTTTAAATTCTGATATACTCTACAAAACATTTGCCCTGAAATTTCTTTCTACTTAGAGATTCATAAATAACCTTGTAAGACAAACAAACATAAACTTCTGTTTTATCACAGAGGCCACAACTGAATTTGACTCTTTTGAGGCTGCTTATCAGTGTGTTACACATCATTAAAAGCCATCCTGCCTTTTGTAAAGCAGACCCTCAATGCTTATCCATTTGAGTAGCTCCTCATATTCAATGGAATGATATTCCCAGATAATCACAATTCGATGATCTCTCAAAAATGTAAGGGGACCTCTCATTTTCTGCCTTTGGGAACAAAGTCATCATTGTGATCCAGGACTCAGGGATATCTCTGAGAGATCTTTGCTGTTAAAGAACACCCAAGGATTGCACTCTTTTGGTATGGAAGAAGTATTAATCTATGTCAGGGATGTTTCAGAAGGGAGAATGTTTGTTGTTGTTTTTTATTTATAAATTTTATTTTTATTTTTACATTAATTACACTTTAATCCCTTTGTATCCCATCTGTAGCACACTTCCGCATTCCTGTCCAATCGCACCTTCCCTCCCTCTTCACCACCCATGCCCCTCTCCAAGTCCATTGATAGGCAAGGTCCTCCTCCCCTTCCGTCTGACCTTACCTTATCAGATCTCATCAGGACTGGCTGCATTGTCTTCCTCTGTGGCCCTGTAGGGCTGTTCCCTCCTCAAAAGGAGGTGATCAAAAAGCCAACCATTGAGTTCATGTGATTAGAAGTTGTGAATCATTTCTTCCTTAATTGGTCTTTAGAATACAATTAATGAGGCACAGAGATGAAAGATGAGATGATGGGGCTCAACTAACTGATAATCAGGACTGTGGAGAGACATTGCTATATAGACTGGGACAAATATTCCATTGTAGTTTTCATAACCTGAGGGGAGGCATTTATTCTCAGCTAGTCTGGAGGTTAGTTGCACTTATTGTTTGAATTGAGCATATGAGAATCAAGGCTCCATATACAATGTATTCAATTTACAGTTAATGGCTCATTCAGTAAAATCTTGTCTACGACCTGCTGTGTGAGGCAGCTTTTCACTTCTGCAACAACAGACCTGAAGGAATACACTTATAAAAATGAGGCATTTATTTTCTTAAATTGTTCTGTGTGTATTAATGTTTGACTTCCAAGTAAGTTTGTATATAGCAACTTTGCTTAGTATCCTTGGATACCAGAAAAAAGCTTAAATTCGATGGAATTAGAGTTAAATATTGCAGTGAGCTACCATGAGGAACTGAGAATCCAACCTGACCCTCTGGAGTAGCAAACAGTGTACTTAATCACTGAACCATAATTCTAGCACCAAAGTGTTTATTTTTATTTATATAGAGCATTAATTAATTAATTAATTAATTAATTAATTAATTAATTTAACTTTGAAATTAGTTTTATTTTGCCCGTATGTAAGCCTGTGCACCACTTGCATTCTGGTGCCCTTGTAAGCAAGAAGATGGCTTTGGATCTCATAAAACTAAAATTACCGATGCTTGTGATCCAAAACATGAGTGCTGGGAAGAAAGGCTGAGTCCTCTGAGATAGCTGTCAATGAACATAACTTCTGAGCTAGCACTTCACAAAACGGTTTACCTTAAACTTCATCATACAATTTATCTACCTTTTCTTTACTAATGCTTCAGATTTATTATTGACAAGCTCATTATTATTACTATTATTATTATTATTATTATTATTATTATTATTATCATTACTGAGGGCTTGAGAGAAATGCTTAATATGATGTGGTAAATTAATAAAGAGGAAAAATCATATTCACCTGTTAAGAAGAAAACAAAATGAGACATAGCCAGAGAAAAAGACATGAATATTACATTCCTTCTAATGCCATAGCTATATGATCCATTTGCCTCACAGTATCCTTACACTTTAAAGGTCAATCCCAGGAAAATACCCTGACAGATGAAGCCATTCACATATAATTCTTCTGAGGACACAAGTCACTAACAATTTCAACATGCTGGGTTTGTAAAAGGATACAAAGTTCATAGGAATAGGGCCTTAGTATGGGAATAATTCTGATAGTTGAATTCATATTCACATGTTGGACAAATTCAAAAAAATCTGAGTGATTTTAAGAATGGAAGTAATACCTTAATTTACAAATGCAGACATATAAGACACTCTTTGTGTTTTGTGTCAAACTGACAGACAAGACAAAAAATTTTAAGAAAGCAAGGGTATGCCCCCATCTCCTCTCCATGCCAGGGTAGTGCAGGAGAGCTGACCCTCCTGGCATGGTTGCAGAAGACCTGATAGACTGGCTCATCTCCCACCCAGGCCCAGATGCAGGACTTTGTGCTGGCCAACCCCAACATCTACACCAAAGAGCTGTTGGAGCATGTAAACAGGCTGATCCTGTACACCCAAAGCTGAAGGCTCTCCATGACTAAGGTAACCAGGTTATCTGAGAGGAGTCTCTGGGAGTGTCTAGTGTTGATGGTGAAGCAAAAGCCATAGGCCTTGAACCAGAGCAATGACTCATTTCAATGAACATTTGCAAGTAGAGCATTTTGGGCAAAGGATATATTGTGTGACACACAGTGACACAAAACGGTTTACATGGTCGGATTTTTCTATTTTTATTTATCCTTTTTTTTGTATTCTTCTGGGGATTTACAATGCTGTAGCACAGAAATTGAAAGATTGGGAAATGAGTGGTAGAGCAATAATTACGTAAAATTAAAAAATATATCAACAAAAATTATATGTGAAAAAAGACAATGAAAAAAGAAAAAGTAAGGGGTATATTTTAACTAGTAGTTTCAGAGATTAAGTAAAGTGGATGGAAGTCATGGAACTATGACTCACAGGAATTTGTTTTCTTATCCAGGACTCTACTTGGCTCAATTCAACTATCAAGCTACTGGCAACCTAAAATCCAAGCCTATATTTAACTTCAGGTATGTTGAAAAGTAGCAATAAAATTCATTTCACACTCGTTTTTTAATTTAATTTATTTTTTTATTTTTTATATTAATTGCAATTTATTCACTTTGTATCCCAGATGTAGCCTCCCCTATCTCTTCTCAATCCCACCCTCCCTCTCTCATCACCTCCTATGCCCCTCTCCAAGTCCACTGATAGGAGAGATCTTCCTCTCCATCCCTCTGACCCTAGCTTCTCAAGTATCTTCAGAAATGGCTGCATTGTCCTCCTCTGTGGCCTATCAAAGCTGCTCGCTCCTCAGGGGGAGTTGACAAAAGAACTAGACACTGAATTCATGTCAGGCACAGTCTCTGTTCCCATTACTAGGGAACCTATTGGACACTGAGCTGCCATGGGCTACACCTGTGCAGGGGTTCTAGGTTATCTCCATGCATGGTCCTTGGTTGGAATATCAGTCTCAGAAAAAAATCCTGTGCCCAGATTTTTTTGGATCTGTTGCTCTCCTTGTGGAGCTCCTGTCCTCAAGTGAAAAGATAATCATCGGTGTTGTTCAACTTAGAAAGTACATTAATTTGCTACTATTGTTGTGATAACACACTGATGAAAACAACTGACACAGGAAAGGATGTACTCTATGGTGTACATCCAGTTGCCTGTCAATTACTGAGAAATATCAGGGCCCAAACAGAGTGCCTTGCACCTCATAGCTTTCTTAACCAGCTTTCTTATTTTGCTCCAGGCCAATCTGTCAAGGGTGGCACCATCCTGGTGATCTGGGGCTATGAATTGTTAATCAAAGCAATATCCCACAGATTTCCCTAGACCATAGACCTATGTGATGTAACCAGTTCCTCAATCAGATATGTCTATGCTTCACCACTCAAAAAACTAATTCTTAATTACTTCTCTATTGTTTTAGTAAAGCATCATGACCAAGACAACTTATAGAAGCAAGTGTTTTGTTGCCCTTAGAAATCTAGAGGGATTACAGTCCTTCAAAGTCACAACAGAGGAGCATGACTGCAGGAAGGCAGGAGGGATATACATGCACCTGAGAGCTGAGGGCTCTTCTCTTAGATAGCAAATATGAAGCATAAAGAGGACTAGAAATGGCTCATAGCTTTTGAAACTGTAAATTCCAACCAATGACATACTTCCTCCAGCAAGGCCAAAACACTTAAACTACCCAAATGTTGTCACAAAGAAGGTATCACACATTGATATGCCTGGAATCAGAGGGCCATCCCATTCAAACCACCACAATGAAACTCCTTCTTCCCACCTTGGCCCTCCAAAATTGACAAGATACCTTCCAAGTCACTAATTGATTCACTCAGAGTTTGTCTTGGCAGCACATCAGCTCTGAAATGTTCCTTGGCCTTCTAGTAGTTCTTAATTTTTTCGTAATATGTATGAAATTTTAACAAATTTTAGTAAAATGCAGAGAACTTAGACTCTCCATTCTAGACAGAGACATCTGGGCACAGGACTGTGTGTGCATTCATCAAGCAAAAAAACAAATGAAAGCTAGTGCTTATATGCTTTCAGCATTATTCTTTTTATTCAGTCTAGAACAAGCATCAATAGATTCAAGAAGTCTTACCTCCTTATTTAATCCTTTATGGGAATACAGCCATATCTAGGGAGATGTGTATTTGTGTGTGTGTGTGTGCAAGTTAAATTGCAATTTTGTCATGCTAACAATAAAAAAAGGCCACTTGTAAACAAGGCTCTTGCAGAAGACCAGAGTTGGATCCCTATCACTAAAGTCTGGTGGTCCAAAACTTCCTGAAATCTAGCCTACAAGCACCTGGTGACCTTTTTAGTTTCTAACTCCAAAAACAATTCCAAGGGGCCCATACATGTACACACAGATATAAACATGAAATCACATAGACACTCATTCACCATTAAAATTAAACTGAAAACATTAATCATCACAATGACGATACTGAAACTTTCTCCAATTTATTATAATGCATTGTGCTGAATTTATATTTAGATACATACACATAATATTCTTAGTTATTTCATTGGACAATTATATTCATAGTAATCTCTATTTTCTTAATAATCCCAGATTTTGAATTTTTCATCTTTTGAAGACTGATATCATTTATCCAAATATGAAATGACAGCATCTTGTGTTTGAATTATGGTTTTACATATTTATATCTGTTACAGTTGTAAAAGGTATTCACACTGATAATTTTACAAGGATCTTTGATGGAGATGGTGCTGTACTTAATATAGATATTCAGAATTGTGGTGATGACATAAACAATACTATTGATGAGTCTTATTGTAAGGCAGATGCCAGAGATGAGCCAAGTGATAAAAACTTTCCCAAGGATAATACTGACAAAAATTTCATCTATTCCTTCTTAAGACAAAAGTCCTACAGGTAAAGGGAAGCATTAAGTAGTACTCAGATGAATGGAAGGATGACAAAATTTCCTGATTTCACATGGTTGTTAACAGCATCACAGTAGGGTTGGGGCACACCCTTATAAAAAAATAAATAGAAACATACATACATGCATACATACACACTTAAACACATATATACATGAACATGCGTGCTCTTTTTATACACATATGTATGCACATACATGTGTGACAGATGTATTCCTAATTTAGCCCCTGTAAGATTCCCAGAAATACCTCCTGCATTTCTCCCCTATCATTGCCCTGGTCCCCAAGGAAATGTAATATATCTTGGAGATTGAAATTACTATTTTTGAAAGGCTCATTAAAAAGAATGGATTGATTCAAAATCCCTCAAAACACTCTGCAAGTTAAAGAACTGTGTCACTGTCATTGAACCTCAGGTACCCTGAAAAATCTATCCAACACTGAAGACATGAAGGAAAAAGAACACCATGACGACAGCTCTCCCAGTTTGAGGATGTGTCCCTCACACAATGATACAGGGCCCATAACTGCTCCTCTTCTCAGTGACGAGGTTACAGGTAAGTATAGATGTTCTATTATCACAACTGTTTTCACAATTGAACGCGTTTAATGTTTCTGTACAAATGGTGAATATCCTAAAGTATAGACAAGGAATAATTATAAAGTTGTGGCCAACACCATAAGTAGTTTATATAAACTGGAGACACTTTTTGCTTTAAAAAATACATCTGATCATTAATGCAGCCCTGCAGATCTCAGGGTTGGTCTCTGTATTCCTGATTGTGCTCCCTATTAACCATTTTCCCAGGTTCTCTATGTTAGTCTTTATTTCCTCCCATCTGTTATATCAAAGGTCCAGGAAGTTCCCCAGGAACATGTTGTGTACCTCCACCTAAGCTAAGTCTATCCAAGAAATGGCCAGCTCAGAAGCCACATCAGTCTCCACTCCGCCACCAATAAACATTGCTCCAGGTCCTCCAGGGTCCATAAGTCCAACTCTTCCTCCTATCCTGCAACCAGAGATGCTTCAATCACAGTCAACTCCCAGTGTTGAGAAGGGTGACAAGAAGAAACACTTGGGTTAACAGTCCTTTTACTGTTTGTACTCCTTTCTCAAGGTGAAGTTCTGATTTCCACAGCACAGACTGTGGCATTGCTAGTCTCTAGCTAGGTGCTAGACCTTTCATCCTATAGAAGTGTTTCCTCCTGAGCTCCAGGACCCTCTTTGGGGAAAAGCTTCTCTGTCTACTCCATGGCCTCCCATGTGGCTTGTGTGTCTTCCATGACATCCTAGGCCACCAAAACCTTAAAGATATCACTGCTTGATACTAACACCATCATGCATTGCTTTCAAAGCAAAAAGTATAATTTACTGATTATGCCTAAAAAGCATGAGCAATAAACAATTAGCTATCAAGTGCATCATGATGCAGTCTCATTCTTCTACATGTTAAAATATACATTATTTTCTGTGTATTTGTGTGATGCAGAAAGTATGCAGGCTATAAAGGGAAAAGAGCAATGAAGGGTTAAGTGGGTTCAATTACAACATACAATGATTTTCCCTCTGTGTTAAAATCTGAGAAACTTAACAAACTATTTTTATAAATCTGATGACTACATGTGGCATAATGAAAATGTGCACATAACTCCACCAGCAAACAACAAGGAAGATCTCACTGAAATTTCTTCCTCACCATCAGGACAGATTGAGGGACACTTATTCAGAAACGATCTCACCAATATTTCTGTGAATAGTAATCTGCTTGCCATTATAGTGGTGAGTTAATTTTGGGTCTCTGTACCTGTCCTGATGCACAGAATTCCTGGGAAAACTGTGTGCTGAATGAATTTTTTATCAAAAATATGAATGATTAGATAGCTTATCCATGAGGGTGAGATACTTTTAAATTAGTGCCTCCATGAAATAAATCCCACTGAAGTTTGAGTCATGTAATTAGAGAAATTTGAAAAAATAATTGTATAGTATTCTCATCAATTTCACTGACTTCAGTAAAGATTTAATTCTACCATCTTGTTGGAGGAAAAGTATCTATGGGTGTAAGTCTCTCTGCATCCAAAAACCTCAACTCTTCCAACTTATTTTAACTTCCATATTGCTCTAGAGTATTAATATAAAAATCGCCTCTGAGATAATTCAATAATATTATTCAAAATATTTAGAGTGCATTGTTTTATATTATCAGAGTATAAGAAGAAAGCTTTTTTTTTGCTATATATTAATCCTTTCATCTTGATAGAAAACATTTCAAACCCACCTTGTATGGCTTGAGCTATTTTAAATAATTTGCTAAATTGCCATTGGATATCTGTACATGTACATTTATATGTATTTAATATCTAGCATGCATTTTAGCACTATTCAGCATGGGAACAAGATTATTATGTTAATACCTGATATAATTGTTAGTAACTTGAGTATTTTAGAGCAATCTTTTCATGTAACCATGACTGTAATACTCCTAACCTTGAAAATAGACACAATACTGAGTAAAGTGTGTATGGAAGCCATTTTTTACATAGTGAAACCATGGAAGAGAAATTAAAATCTCCTTGACTACTTGACTGTGACAAAATTCTTTGATACTGATAGCAGAAAATAAGTCTTAGAAGGAAGAGACTTTAAAGAAGTTTAAGAAGACAAAAATCTTTTGAAAACACAGATTTTAATACTCACAACAGAGTTCAGGATAGACAGGAAGTGATAATAGTGTTTGTGTCAATGAAAGTGAAATATCGAAATAGTAGCTGAGAATGGCAGACTAAGGCAGGCTATTATTAGTGGAGCAAGAAAAAGTAAGAGTGGACCACTCACCTAAATTAGTTGGGGAACAGAATTATGTTTCAATGACAGTGATTATCTGATTCAAAAATAAAACAACAACAACAACAAAAAAAAAAACAGTGTTTCAAACTATAAAAAAAGAAAATAGGAAACAACCTAGGAACCTGCCACAGAGGGCCTCTGAAAGCCTCTGCAGTATAGACTGTCAAAGCAGATGCTGAGCCTGATGGACAACTGATGGGCAGAGTGAATGGAATTTTATCTAAGAAGTGGGAAAAAGTAAGAGCTGGAGGGGACGGGAACTCGACAAGCAGAGCAACAGAACAAGATAATTTGAACACAGGGAACTTCCCAGAGACTCATACTCCAACCAAGGACTATTCGTGGAGATGACCTAGAACCCCTGCACAGATGTAGCCCATGGCAGTTCAGTGTCCAAGTGGGTTACATAGTAATGGGAAGAGGGACTGCCTCTGACATAATGTGATTGGCCTGCTCTTTGATCACCTCCTCCAGAAGGGGTAGCAGCCTTACCAGGCCACAGAAGAAGACAATGCAGCCACTTTTGATGAGAACTGACTAAGATCAGAAAGGAGAGGAGAACCTCCCCTATCAGTGGACTTGGGGAGTGGCATGCATGCAGAAAGGGAAGGGAAGGTGGGATCGGGAGGGGAGAAGGGAAGGGCTTATGGGGGGATACAAAATGAATAAAGTGTAATTAATAAAAAAAGAAACCAAAAAAAAAAAAAAACAAAAAAAAGAACTAGATTGAGGAGAAAATATTTTCAGAACTAAAAAAAAAAAAAATATATAGGGGAGGTACTTCATTTCCATCTGAACCTAGCCCATCAGGTCTCCTCAAGACTGGCTGCATTGACTTCCCCTATGGCCTGATGAGGCTACTTCACCCTCAGGGGAAGGTCATCAAAGAGCCAGCCACTGAGTTCATGTCAGAAAAAGTCCTTATTCCCCTTACTAAGGTAGCCAATTGGACAATAAGCTGCCATGGGCTACATGTATGCAGGGGTTCTAAGTTATATCCATGCATGCTCCTTGGTTCGAGTATCAGACTCAGAAAAGAACCCAGTACCCAGATTTTTTGTTTCTGTTGCTCTCCTTGTGGAGTTCCTCCTGCTCTTTCCATCTCCCCTTCTTTCATACGATTCCCTGCACTATCACCAAAGTTTGGCTATGAGTGTCAGCATCTGCTTAAATACACTCTTTCAGAGGTCCTCTGTGATAAGCTCACCCATCAGTAGACTGGGTAAGGGACATGGGAGGAGAAGAAAGAGGGAGGGTGGAATTGGGAGGAGATGAGGGAGCTGGTATACAAAGTGAATAGATTGTAATAAATAAAAAATAAATTAACTAAAAATTAAAATAAAAATAACTTTAAAAAAAGTAGAAAATTTTCTTCATGTCTCCTCATTGTTGTTGTTGACCTATACTTGCCATTGCTATGGTTTACAATAAGAGACACATTTGTCTTCAAACATGGGGATATATAATAATAAAAAGTTGTCGTTATCTCATACATTAGATTCTAGGTATAACTGAAGAGAAGGGACCAGATAAAGAAAAAATATTCAAAACATTAGGGAACAAAGAACACTGGGTCCTAAGGGAAAAGACTCACTGTCAACAGGAAGTAGGTTTGAGAGAGTAACTAGTGGTTGTCATAGGATCCATCTTCAAGGTAAAGGTTTTAGTATTCTCCACACTCAGCATCCCTCTAGACATGAACAAGTACTTTCCTTCCTTCAGATAAACCGATGATGACTGTTTCCTTCAACTATGGAAACTGATGACTTGAGGATAACAGGCATCATAGATAAGTTTGACAAGTTAAAGGATTTATCACAAAGACACAATTGACCTTCTGTTGGAAGCTGACTCCCTCATATGTCAGATGTGCTTTGGTTTGGCATTGCAAATCACCCAAATGATTTCACTTCTAACCACACCAATACTAATAACAAAATAAAGCAATAATTGATAATTAGTAACAAAAAATTATGTATAAGGTAATTTAGTTAAAACAAGTAATAATAGTGGTAGAAGTGTGATTTACAAAATACACTTATATCCTTCATAAATAAACTCAAAATATCCTTCCTAAATAAAAACAAACTGGCTAGTAGACCACCACTGACCTCTAACAAGTTAACAGAGAGTTGGAGGTTGCCCTCTGTGCAGTACATACATACATATGATTGGGCCATATTCTGAGTTCTCCACTCCATAGTTTCTGGAGCTGTAGCCTCAGACATAAAGAGAGAAGGTTCTGCTCTGAGAGCAGGCAAGATTAGTAACATCAGACAAAGGTACCACTTGACCCCTCCTTGACCAGGACTTGCCAATTATGGCTTGCTTTCATTGCCAGAGAGCTGAAACCACATCATGGGGACGAAAGTGTAGTTCAGTGGCTCCCAAGGTAGTGCTGTGCATTCAGAGCAGGAACACCTGTGATTTTCCCATTGTTCTCATTTCTCTATCTTTGGTACCTCAAACCATGGCTGATACTTTACAGCTTAAAAACAATCGATATACATTAACCTATACTGAATTATGACCAGGAAAGTTGGTTGTGGTGTTTTCCAGACTGGTTAGTCCTGAATGATTCGAGCTACATAGTGTAGATTTGAACATTTAAGCATTTCAAACTATTTAAGGTAATTTGATATCTTGCTTTTTTTCCCTTACCAAAATAATTAGGGATTCCTGCAATTTGATTTCTTGTGGGAT